GAATGGATTATAAAAATAGGTTAATCCTTTCAAAGATTTGAAAGTACAATTAGAATGTAAAAGTAAAATAGCAAACGAAAATGAGAAAATGCAATATGTTAGATTTGTAAATTAAATTATTTTATTCTAAGCAATGCCATTTTTAATATATTGTAACGGAAAAAAAAAAAGAGAAAAAACATATTTTCGATTATAAATTTAATAGAATTTACAAGAAAAAAAAAAAGAGAAAAAAACTAGAAAAATGAATTTCCTAAGATTATTACTTTAACGAAAAGAAAAAAAAAGAAGGAAATAGTAATATAATCGAAATTGTAATTATCATTATATACGTATTAATTTTACGATTAATTTATTTTATATTACGATTACGATTACAAATTACGATTAATTTACAAAATTGAATAGGAATATTTCAACTATCATTATATTATAAACTTACTTTTCATTTTGAAGAAATTAAGATAAACATGCATATGTATCGTTTTAAAGAAATCATGATAGTGCATCTATACTCAACATATCGCTATAAAAATCACGATAATATCATGCATCTATACTCAACATATCGCTATAAAAATCACGATAATATCATGCATCTATATTCAACATATCGCTATAAAAATCACGATAATATGCATTTACCACTGTTTCTTTTCGTATTTCATTTACAATAAACACAACTATATTTCTACAAAAAATCATGATAATGCATGTTTATCTGTATTCTATATTCATTTATATCACATATAACTATTTTATATAATCTGAATACCCTCATAGCCACCTATATTTTCATTATAAATCTTTAGAATACCATTATTTTACGTCCTCAATATAATCACTATCATCTGTATCGTTATGTATCTGCATGTTTCTATTATGCATGTTTGCATGCATGCGTGCATGCATGCATGATAAGCAATTATTATTGTAAAATAATTGAAATAATTGTTCTTTTCCTCTTCACAACGATGAAATTAATATGAAAAGACAAACCAGGCAAAGTTTCGGATTGCTGTTGTCCTGTTGACATTATTGTTTACGCAAATAGTAATAATAATAATAGCAGTAGTAATAATAACAATGACAATAATAATAATAATAATAATAAAGTGATGAAAATGAGACTTTGAGAGATGAATCGTTTTACTGATTGATATTCAATCAATTAAGTATAAGCTCCCCCTTCTCTTCTTTTCTTTTTTTTTCTCTTTGCTTTAAATTTTTCTAAAATTTAAATCACAAAATATTTCAACTATTTATATTTTTGAACTTATTTCATCTGATCAAAAAGCAATAGGAAAAAGATGTAATCAGCATTTTAGAGTATACATAGGAAATTCTTGTTATTTTGCTATTTCTTTGCTTACTTCATAAATTTTATGTTTTATTATTATGTCTTCTTATCTTCCCGCTCTCTCCCTCTCTCTCCCTCTCTCTGTCTCTCTTTCTTTGTCTCTCTCTCACTTCCTTTTTTTGTTTTCACATTTTTATGTTAAATTTTGTTTAGCATTGTATTATTATTATTATTGTTATTATTCTTTTTTTAAAAAAAAAAAAAAAAATTTTTTTTCAGATTTTTCCTCTCTCTCTCCCTTTTCTCTCCTTTTCTTCTCTTTTCTCTCTTTTTCTTTCATTGCTTTTTCTCCTCCTTTTCTTCCCTGTTTCTAGAAAAGAGAAAAAAATAAACTTTTTCTAATCGCAAAACTTGCGATAATCATTCAATTTCAGCAATTCTTCCATTCCTTTCTTAAATAATAACAACAACAGCAACACTCTCTCTCTCCCTGTCTCTCTCCCTCTTTAAACACACTCTTTTACTTTCTTTTTTTGATTATTGTCTATTCAAACTAGTTATATCTTCCTTGTCTCTCTCTCTCTCTAAACACACTCTCTTCATTTTCTTTTATTGATGATTGCATACTATTATCTTTCTTGTCTCTCCCCTCCCTCTCTCCCTCTCTTATACCATCACTCCTTTTCTTTTTTCCCTGTATTTAAACTTAACTCTTTTTTATTTTCGAATTCATAAAAAATGAAAAGAAAAGGAAGAGAAAGAAAGAAGAATGATACTTTCTTTGACAAAGATAGAGGAAGGGAGAGAGAGAGAGAAAGAGAGAGAGAGAGAGAGGAAAATGAAGAATACTTAAAAGTTTGATAAATTGTTGAGTAATGGCATTTGAAATAATAATTAACAAATGTAAATATGTGTATGAAATGTTATTTAAGTATGCTTTTTAATTCTTTCAATTTTTTAATTTCTTTCTTTCCCTCTCTCTCTCGTTCTGTTTCTTTCTCTCTCCCTCTCTCTCTCTCTCTTGTGTTATTTGTGTTCAAAGCGAAAAGAAAAAAAAAACATTTTAAAATTAAAATTAAAATTAAAATTTTAATCTTTTCAGATACAATTGCAAATAAAAAAGAAAAAAATTTTTTTTTTATTTTTATGTATATATTTGTCAATGTTAAAACTTTTAATTCGAGAAATTTCTTAAACTAACTTTCACTATTACTTTGATACAATTTTTAAATTAAAAAATACATTATTTTTTTTTTACATTTAATAATCTTTGAGCTTACTTTCTTGTTTATTTTTAAAGTTTTATTATTAAATACTTTAATTAGCAAATTAATTAATTATTCATAATTTACATATTAAATTGCCCTAAAAACTCCTATAATATTAACATAAAATAATACAAATAATTCTAACAGTTACATTTCTAACAAACAATAAACAATAACAAACAACAAACAACAACAATGACAATTTTTTTTTTGCTTCTTTTCTATTTATTAAATTCTTTCGTTGTAGCAAGGAAACAAATATATGAGTGAAAACATTTGCGATTATTTTGATGTAAATAATTTCCATTTCTCATCTGACGTCATTTTCTTTTGCTAATAATGTCAATAGCTAAGTGCTAATCAATAAAATGTAAAATTAACTCAGAAATTAAAATTCTTTATAAACAAACTGACAAGTGTTTCTGTTGTTGTTATTTGACACATTGTAAAACATTAATTAATGAATTTTTCAAAATAAAAATATGAGTATTAGGCTGTCATTAAGTAATGGAAAATTGTAATTAATTAAATTAAATTTCAAATTATATTGTACATATAATTTGAAATGTAGGTATAAGTATAAAGATAAATAAATAAATAAATATAAATAGAAATGAATAAAATATATTTGTATCAACCATGGATTAATTTATGAAAAGAAATTTGCAATTAACAAATTGTAAGTGAAATTTCAAGCGAGAGAGAGAGAGAGAGAGAGACTATGGCTTATTCGATTGGTTCAAAAAAAACTATATTTGCTATCAAATATATTAATAAGAACAGTGATAATGAACTAACAAACTTATCATTGCGAAAATGATAGTATGATAGTAATAACAGTGATTAGTGATAAAAAAAATTCCAATTTCTATGTTTATTTCATCAAAATTGATAACAGTAGCTGTTGTAATAATAATAGTTGTAATAATAACAATAATAATAATAATAATAATAATAATAATAATAATAATAATAATAATAATATTAATAATAATAACAATAATAACAATAATAATAATAATATTAATAATAAATTTGTCTAAATAAATACTCCTTTATTTTTGTTCATTAACATATTAATAATTACCTAATTCGTTGGAATTAAAATAATTTTAACGAAGAGAGCCAAAAAATAAATAACTAAAAAGCATTTCAAAAAAGCGAAACATTAATTTTCTGTTTAACATTATTTAAAATATTGTTTATCAGAAAATACACATCTAAACAATCATATATGTCTGATTGTTTATCTGTTAATTTATGCAATCCATCAAAAAAAAAAGTATTACTATTACTCTTTGTTGAAAGTTTATTTAAAATCATTGTTATTTGTTGGATGCAAAACACTTTAAAATTATGAAAAGATAAATATTTACGATAAGTTAAGCATAGCTAAAAGATTGCTTCTGAATAATCTATGATGCATTATGCTAAGAAAAGCAATAATTAAAGTTATTGTTGAAGTAAGTTTTAATTTATATAAACTTCCAATTCAAAAATTGCTCAATCTGGTTAAATTTATAATTTAAAATAAAATTATATTCTTATAATAATAATTGATAATGACAATAAATAATAATAATAATAATAAAATTACGATTATAATAATAAAAATTCGATTTTTAGGTAAAAGCAATATGAGCGAAATTTTTTAAGCAATTCATAAGTTTTTAAATTAAAGATTGTTAAAAAAAAATTGATTATTAAAATTAAAAGTTTGAGCTTTTTATATACGACAGAAGAAAAGTTTTTCTTTTTTTTTTTTAGTGTAAATAAAAATTAAGCATTAAGAAAAAAGATTTGCAAAGTTTGCTTTTTGAATTTGATAAATATTTCAAAATTATGAATAGGAAAGAAAAGTTGAATCTCTAAATTGAATATAAGTGTAACCTAAGGAAGAGTTAACATAAACACAACTTTTACATATTTTTTTAGCTTATATAATTTAAGCAAAACTTATAGATTTAATTTAATTTGAATACATCATAAATAGATTTAATGTTAATATTACTATGAATAAATTTAATCTAAACATAAATTATTGATAAATTCTGTGATATAATTTCTGATCTGTTAACTTTATAATTTCAATTTTTTTTTTTGAAAACTTTAATAGCTTAGGTAAGAATATATTAAGAAATAACTTAAAATAAGTGAGAATTCTAATTTTAAATGATAAAAATAAATAGTACAAATATTTTTATCATTATTTTACTTTTACACTTCTTTTTTTTTTTGTATTAATGTTTGTTATTTATTATAATTATTTAATTTATTAATTACTAATGCAATTAATTGCTTCATGTAATAAATACTAAATCAAATATTTTATTTGTTTTATTTTTGCTTTTTCAAGTTGATTTTCATATTAATCGAATCAAGTAAATTCATAAACAAATATCATAACATGCATAAATTAAAAATTTTTTAAATCAATTAGTAAAATTTAAAAAAAAAAACGAAATGAAATACTTACCTTGAATTCCAGTTTTTAATTTCCATTCCATGTCACGAATTAATGAATCAATTTGATCACAGCCAAGGCGTTCTCTTTGCTTAAAAAAATTAATATTAAATTAAAAGAACAATGAATTATGCAACAATTTAATTTATTTAATATAATATGAAAAAATTAATTTTTATTTATTTCGTTTTTTTTTTTCAAAGTAATTATAAAAAAAATTACTTAAGAACAAAAAAAAAAAAAAATTATTATATTTTCTTTTACAAAATTTACTTAAATGAAAAATTAAGAAAAAAAGTGATTTAATAAAATTAAAAATTTATTTCACAAACATTTTCTATGTTTTATGATATTAGAATGAAAAAAAAAAAAAAAGATTTAATAAAATTGAAAACTTTTTTTTTCTTTACTTCATAAATATTTCCCATATTTTGTGGTGCTGGTAAATCACGAAGTTGTGATTGTTGAAATTGATTTGCGATACGTTGCGTTTTTGTTAAACCTATAATTTATCTTTGCAGAAATATTCGAAATAGCTATTTTAAAAAAAAAAATAAAAAACAAAAATTAGAATTTTCATCTTTCTAATATAATTATTATTTTCTTTTTTTTTTAATTCTTTGCTATCTAACATATATTTATCGAATATCAAACGTTTAATTTTCATTTTATTTTTAATCGATTATTGTTTCCTTTTTTTTTAACTATTTGAAATGTTTTTGAATTTTTTTTTTTTTTTTGCAAAATTAAAATGTTAAAATTACATTTTATAAAAAGCAAATAAAATTTTTGGAAAATGGAAAAATACGAATAATTATATATATATATATATATATATATATATATATATATATATATATATATATGCATTATATTATAAATATAACATAAAGACAAATAAATTTATTTTATTAACAAATTTTTAATATTTTTTTTTTAAAAATTTTTTATTATCTTTTATTTTCAAACTAATTATTTAAACGAATTTAAATTTGTATACTATAGTTAACCAAAAAATTTAATTAATGAAAAAGAAAAAAAGAAAGAAGAATACTTTGATCTCGAAGTTCCTTAATAAACTGATAAGATTTGTTGATATTACTATTAGGCTGATATCGTTGATAATCACTGTTAACAGTCTGATAAAATGTATCTCGTGGCGGTGAATCCATTACTGTATAAGCAGGTGTTTGTGTTGCATATGCTCGGATATATGATTTTGGATCAGTAATATAAGGTATTTCGTTAGGTATCGTCCCATTGTTGCTTAAATTGAAATAAATTTTAGCATATTTTATAAATAAATAGCAAATTAAATTTAATTTTTTCTTTTATTAAATTGAATTTTTTACAAATTTCGTTTTACTTATTATTATTAATATTAGTATTTTTTTTGAATAAAAAAGTTATTACATTAATTAAAAACGTTTCAAATATTAAAAATAATAAAATAACATTGATATAACATATAAAAAAAGAAGAAAAGTTATAAAAATATTAAATTTACATGTAAATTAGTTATGTTTAAATAACAAATTTCAAAGTATTATTAAATGTTCACGTAAAAATAATATTTTTCACGCAAAAATGTTATCATTCATAAATGTTTACGTGAAAAAAAATCATATCTTCAATGCATTTCAAGGATAAAACTCTGATTAATAAAATTTATAATTATTTCATTGATATCAAAATTATTTGTAATATTAATTAAAATAATTATTTTATAAAAGTAAGTAATCAGAAATCATATTTGCTTGCATTATAATATACAAATTAACTTTTTGTAATTTATGCGAAAGTAATTGAAAAAAAAATTTTTTTTATTCCTTTTTTTCATCTCATTTCTCATTTAAATTTGCTAAATTTAAATTAAGCATTGCATTTTTAGCTTAAAAAAATGTTATCAAATGTAAATGTATTTGTTAAAAATTTTCTAAATTCCATAACGATACAATATTTTAACATAAAATATTTATTTTCAACGTACGTGAAACTAACGTATAGCGTTAACGTGTCATTTAATTTATGACGAATAAGTAAAATAAATAATGATTAATGATGCATAAATTATATGAAAATAGTTTGAATAAATTTTTAAAATAAATAAATTACTGAAAATTAACGTTTGCTCAAATAAGTTATCAGTTTTATCGATTTATTGATTGATTAATCGATTGATCAATAAAAATTATGCATGTTCTGATAACTTTCATAAGTTTACAAATGTGAAAATGCTTGATGATAATAAACACAGCTTAATTTAAAGAGAAATTTTTACCTTTGATATTGAGTGGAAGAATATTGTTGTTGTTGATCGCTGTGATAAGATGAGAATGGCGCAGTTTGTGATTGCTGATGATAAGTTTGATAAGACGAAAATGGTGCAGTTGGTGATCGTTGCTGATTATTGTGATAAGATGAGAATGGTGCAGTTTGTGACTGTTGATGATAACTTTGATAAGATGAAAATGGCGCATTTTGTGGCTGCTGCTGATTTTTGTGATAAGTTTGTGATTGTTGCTGATAACTGTGATAAGATGAAAATGGCATTGTTTGTGATTGTTGTTGAAATGATGACCGTTCAGTATATGGTGTGTTATTTAGCTGAAAGAATAAAATATTTAAATAATTACAAAACTAATTGGAAATGCTTTTTTTTTTTTTTTTTAATAGAAAACTAAAAGATTAGATATCATAAATGTTTAAAAAATAATTTGCAAAAATTTAAACTGCGAAAAAAAAATAATTATTGTCATTTAAAAATTCTCATAAAGTTATTTGATTTAAGTTCAAATTAATTTTAAAAAAAGTGCGAAAAAAAAAAGAATAAATGTTTAGTAATGTCTAATTATTTTTTTTTTTTTCAAATTCCTTTTTTTTTATTGAAATAATTTAATTTTGTTAAGCAATGAAATCGTTAAAATGCTTTAAATCTAAAAATTATGCTTATAAATCTAAGAATTGTGATAGTAAATATTCAATGAGTAAATTATATTAATTTTTTTTAATCAATAAATTATATGAAAAAGTTTTGTTCAAAATATCATTGTTAGATTTTTTTTTCTTTTTTTTATTTAAATTATTATTCCTTACAGAAATTTTAATACAAAACAAAAAATTAAAAAGAAAACAATGTTTGTTCTAAAAATGAATGTAATTTTGATAATTTAAGAATTAAATTTAATTATTATTGTATTTTTATTATTTAAAGAACAAAAAAAGAGAACTTTTACAGTATTATAATTTACTTAAAATTAATATATATATGATTTAATATTATAATGAATTTTTTTTGCATTTTCATTTATTTATTTTTTTGTTTTTAATTGAAATAAAATATTATTTTTTTTTTTTCTTAAATAACAAAATGTTGAAGTGATAATAATAGTTAGTGATAACAAAGAATGTTATATGCTAACATGCAAACACTAACAAATGACTACTTGCTTAACTGATAACGTAAGTGTAATAATTTAAAAAATTTACAGAGCATTTTGCTCAGTTTGCTGAAAATAATCACAAGAGAGATTTTTAAGAGATTTAAATTTTAATTATGAAATTATCAAGCAAAAATTTATTTCATTTTGTAAACACTTTCATTAGTATATCAAAATTTTACATAATTAAAAAAAGATAAATCAAAAAGAAATTTTTTTTATAAATTTATATTTAACCAGATTAAAAAAAAAAATAAATTTACAATTATTAGAAAAAAAATATTAATATAGGAAAATAGTAATAAGTAATAGTAAGAATACTTAAATAGTTTAATGTTTAAATATTTAGAAAAGTTTTAGTTTTAAAAAATTAATAAAAGCATATAATTTTTGAAAAATTGAAGCAGACTTTAGTATCAGGAAGTAAAAGCTGAAATTGAAGCTTAAATTTGTAAAAAAAAAAAGAAAAAAGTTGAAATGTTTGAAGTTAGAGAAGCTAATCTGATGATAAAGCATAGAAGATGGATGATTGCTCATAAAAAAAAAAAATGAAATGAAATGAAATGTTTATTTTTCAATATATATGTATATTTTGTTGTGCACTTTTGAAGTTATAAAAAATATTTTTATTCAAAAATTAGTTATTTCAGAAAAAAAGAAAAGAAAAAAAAGGATTTAAAGTACTAATTAAGTTATTTTCATTTTACTAAACAAACAAATTCTTTTATTAGTAAAAATAATATAAATAAATAAATAAATTTGCTAATGCAAAAATTATGCATTAATAATTTAATTTATTTGTTTTCTTATAATTAGCAAATCAATTAATGAAATAATTTATTGCTTAGATCAACAATACTTATTTAATCAATAAGTTAAAAATTATGTTGAAAATTCGATGAAATAATTAATTAAAAACTGAAAAACTGTGTTGATATTTTAATTAATCAATTACCACTCAATTAATTAATGAATTAAGAATTTTGTTCAGAACTCAATGAAATTCTGAATAATGAATAGTGCAATATTTAATTTTAAATGTTTTTTAATTTGAAAAATTTTTTAAATTTAACAAAATTGAATCTGTTCATGAAAATAAGTAATATTAACAAACCGAATCGGAGTGTCGATGAACGTTCCCGACCGGCATAGGGTCACGGGTATCATTGGACGAAGCATAAAACTGGAAATAAAAATAATTTATTTAAAATAAAATTTTGAAACTAAAAAAAAAAAGAAAATCCAATCAAAAAGTCTGACAAATAAATTAATAAAATTAATTCTTCGATGAAAATAATTCCTATTATGCATTAGTGCTTACTTTAAAAAAAAAGAAAAAATAAAAATACTCAAAAAAATTTTGTGCAAATTTAAAAATTTTTTATTTTATATTTTATAAAAATTTTGTTAACAAATCATTCATTAAATAGTATAAATTAAATTTTGTTCCATAAATTAAATACTACTCTAATAATTAAATTATGAATTAAATTTTTCCTTTTGTATAAAGTTAACATTTATAATTATGCAAATTAATTATGAAAATACTATTTTATTAAGCATAAGGTTTAAATTTGATCGATTGAAATTAAAAATTAAAATTAATTTACCGCTGTTCCGGCTTTATTTCTTTCCAACGGGACATCGAACGAGCCGTTCGACCGATATCGTCCAGACAATTGTTGATCCGTTCCGTCCAGTCGTCCATTGGATAAATTCTCGATGTCACCCTGTAGCGATCGACCGTACTCGGTCTTGCGTAAGCCAGCGACTGCGTGCTAAAAATTTTTTTTAATTTTTTTAAGTTTCATTTTTTTTTTCTAAAAAAAATTAATGTAAAGAAGGACAAATTAATAAAGGAAAAAGAATTTTGATATACTTTTTATTAATGAAATTAGATAAAATTTTTTAAAATCGAATGAATGTGATAAGATAATATTTAGTTAATCGTTTAGAGAAAAAAATAGTAAATTATGACTTTTTAATATAATATTTTTGTTTTTCTAAAAAGAAAAAAACATTTAGGATAAATCGTTTTTAGTTAAATAAAATTTTCATTGAAATAATTTCAAACTTAGCAGTTCATTCTTTTTTGAAAAAAACTGAAGATGATTAATACAATTAATTATTGAAATTTGTAGAATAGATAAAAATAAATTAAGAAATAGAAAAAATACAGATAAAGTTTTTTAAATTATTAAGGAAACTTAAAGTTAGAAATATTTACTTAATAAATAATACAGAAATAATAACTAATTTAAATATTTCAAAAAAAAAAATGAACATTTGAAAAATTAAAATAAATTAAAATGCATTACCTGTAATGTCTTAGCGTCCAACCGGGGAGTGGTGGGCTTGGGCGACGCTAAAATTAATTTAAATATAATACAATAAAAAAATTATTCATTAAAAAAAAAAGAAAACGGTTAAAACGAAAGTAAAACAAATTAAAAATACAAATGCATACTTTAGAATAATTTTCATTTTTTTAAATTAAATTATAACAATAATTAATTCTATTATATAACATAGCTAACAAATAAATTTACAATAATAATTTCAGATAATTTTTTACAAAAAAAAACTTCAATACAACTATATTTTCTTTTTACAGTAGTTATACTTTTTATAATTTTAATTTTTAGTGTAATAGCAAAAAAACAAAAAAAAAAAAGTTAAATATTTACAAACTGACCAGATACGGTAGAATGTGCTTGTCGGTTACTATCGGTTGATGACCTCCAGCTAGATGATAAAAGCGACGACTAAAATAAATAATTAAAAATTAAATGGAGAAAAAAAAAAAGAAAAAAACTAAGAATTTTTAATCATTTTATTAAAAATTTTTTGCATTAAAAAGTTATTTTGGATGGTAATATTTTAGTTCCTTTCTTTAATTTAACAAAAATTTTTAAATTAAAATTTTTTTTCCTATGTGTATTTGATTTTACAAGTAAATTTAATTTATTATTAATGATAATTAATGAATAATTAGTATACGGTAGACTGTAAAGGGGGTGGAGGAGGAGGGGCTGGGGGCGCGTCCATTCCTCAGCGTACGTGTCGCGAACGTTGGCGTAGGAGTGACTTCGACGTCTTCGAATTGATCTAAAAATGAAAAAATTAAAAATGAAGAAAAAAATGAAAGAAAAAAAAAGAAACGGAAAGAAAAGAAAAACAAAGTATTCCAGAAATTTAACGAATTAAAATTAACTTTTTCAAATTGTAAAGGTAATAAATGAAAAATTAAATATAAAAAATTGTATGAATGCATTTTTAATAATTGAAAATAACTCTGATAAAAATTTAAGAAATTTTTTATCAGAGTAATATCAGAAATATTCAGTAATGGTAGTATCATCATTTTATCAAATTATTTAATAACAAAGCTTAACTTTATTGATATTTATAATGGATAATTGGCTAATTAATACTTAAATATTGGAATTGGAATAATTTATGATTTTTTAGCAAATCAAAAATAACTTAAAACTGTGATTGAAATGCAAAAAAAAAAAAAAAAAAAACAAATTTCTTTTTCAAATAGTTAAATGATAAAAATTAAAATTTAAAATAATGCTAATTAAAATTCTATTTTAATTAAATTGATGGAATTTTTTTTAAAGAATTAAATTAATCAGCAACCGAATGAAAAAGAATGAATTTATTGCACAACGAATGAGCAAATTTGAGCTGCTTGATTTTTCTGTAAAATGAATGAGACATTATTTTAAAACCGGTTTCTAACAATTTCTTTCGTTAAAAATTTCAAACATTTCATTCGTTTTAAATTAAAACTAAACTACGTTTATTTTATTTTTTTTTTTGCCGTTTTGCACAATTCAAAAATGTGAGTAAAACAAGAAATTTAAAAGAAAAAAATTCAAAAAAAAAACAAACAAACAAAAAAAATAGAAAAACAAATTGTTTTAAATATGCATAAAAAAAAAAATCAATTTTAAAAGATCTAAAATTTTTAATTTGGTTAATCTTTGCTAATTAAATGATACAAAATAATATTAATTATTTGTTAACATGAAACAATAATTAAATTTGCTATTCGATTATGCTTGCAAATGTATAATCGAATTATTAGAATTTATAGAAATTTAAATACTTGAAAAACACTTATTAAATTTGCAACTTGCTATTAAAAAAATGAAAAAAATTGATTTTAATTGTCAAAAATTTATATAATTTTCATTTCGAATAATTGATAAACTATGGCACTACTATCTGTAAAATGTTGCTAAAATGAATTTAATAAAAAATTTTCAAAAAAAATAAACCTAAGCCTAGGCCTAAGCCTAAGTCCAACAATTTTTTTTCTAAGTTTGCTAATTTTACTTAACTTTAAATATTACTTAAAAAATATAATGCAAGGAAAGAAAAAAAAATTAACTTTTCCTTTTAAAAAGCAAATTTTGAATAAAAAATCACTGCAATGTAAAATTTTTTTGCTAAAATTTTTAATTTTTCTTTTTTTTTTCACAACTTTCAGAATTGTTATAAATTTATTTACTTTATTTCTTTATTTTATAATAAATTTGATATATTTATGCTTTATTATGATAATTTAGTGAAATTTAAATTGTTGAAAAATTTTCTTACACAGAAATTAAAATGTAAACAGTGAAAGGCAGTGAAAAATGAATGAGAAAGAAGTGCAAGTGATAAAGTGTGATAAGCTTTCAAAATATTAGTAACTAAATTACAAATAAGTGAAATTTTTTAACTGATAACAAAAAAAAAAAAAGAATGAATGAAAAAAAAAAATGGAAAAGAAAAATAAATAATTTATAATTTTATGTGATAAACATTGCACTAAATTAATATATTTTCAATATAATTTTTATTTTCCTCTTTTTTTGTCATTAATTAAAAATTTATAATTATATTCTAAATTTTTAAAAAATATAGAAAACAAGGAATACAAAAATGTATTTGTAGTAAAATTAATTAATAATAATAAGTAGCTATAAATAGCTACTCATTATTATTTACAAAAATTGTAATAAATTCAAATTAATAATTTTTGTTTTGTCAAAATAAAATTAGAAATTAGATAAATAATAATAATTTTTATTCAAATTAGGACAAAACAAAAAGAAAAAATGAAAAAAAAAACAATTTACAAAAAAAAAAAAAATAAAAATAAAATAAACTAACGCTTGAAAATGACAATAGATGGTAACCATTACTCATTGTTATTTTGCATAAATAGTAACTATATAAATAATAATTATTGTTGTTTACATAAACAAAATTTAATTTAAATTGCAAATTTTGCCATTAATGGACAATAATTTAGCAATAAATTGAAAAGAAAAAATTAAATTAAATGATTTTAATTTTACAATAATTGAATAATAATTTAGTAGTAGTAATAAATTGAAAAGAAAAAAATTAAAATTAAATAATTTAAATTGCAAGTTTTTCTACAACTTAATACTAATTTAATGATAAATTTGAAATGAAAAAAAAAAAAGAAAAAAATAGAATTAGAATAATTTGAAATTTTTTCCATAAAAATAACTAACCCTGGAAAAGGATACAATGGTAACGGTGATAAATAACTTGTCATTATCAGTCGTCGTTACTCGAACAATAATGAGTCACCACCACAAAGTAAACATAAACGACACACACAGACACAGACAGACACAGGTGATAGCTTTTTGTTAAATGCTTAGCTTAGCTTAGCAAAATTTATTTTAAATTTCATACAACGCTGAAAGAGAAGTGAGAGAAGCAGAAAAGTGTAATAAATTTGTAAAAGTTTAATTTAAAACTTTTTTACGTTTTTCATTCTAACTATTTCGTTGCTAAAATTTTCTTTTTTTTTTTTTTCACTCATTCTAATTAATAATTATTTCTAATTTCTATCACAAAAAGAGAAAAAAAGAAAGGAAGAAAAATTCTTTTTTTCAGAAATTTCATTTCTTGGCATTTACGTTTCATTTTTTTTTTTTTTTTTTGCAAAGAAGTTTTTTATTCAATGATTGTTTTTATTTACTTCCGTTTTCTTTCTTTTTTTTTTCTCATATATTTCCTCGTTTTTTTTCCTTTTACTAAAGAATGTAATCTTAGCAAATAGGTTTCAGAAAAAAATAAAATAAAATTAGAAATAATAAAATTAGTATGACTAATTATAAATTTTAAAATAGATTTAAAAAGAAATAAAACTAGAAGTAATGAAAAAATTAGTATAATACTTATTTATTTATCTGTTTATTCATTTATTTTTTACCAAAAGGGAATATCTGCAAGCAGATTAAAAAAGTTAAATTAGGAATGAATTAGAAATGATAATTAGAAATTAGAAAATTGAAAAAAAAAATAGAAATGATAAAAAAATTAGCATGTATTTATTATTATTTATGACATATGTATTTGTTTATTTATTTGTTTTGTTTATTTGTTCATTTATTTATTATTATAAAAAAAAAATTACAAATCGGTGATAAATGAAATTAGAAATGAATAAAATATATAAATTTATTTATTTATTTATTAGCCTGTTTACTTATTTATCTATCTATTTGCTTGTTTGTAACCATAACATAAATTTTTTATTATATAACGGTGAATAGTACTTACTACAATAAGGAATAATGAAAATAAGTGTGATGTGCATGTGTATTTGTTTAAATATATTATCAGTGATAGGTTATTATCATTAAATGATAATATTTGATAATAAATAATTAATAATGAAATTAAGAAAAAATAGAAAAATATGTGAAAAAAAGTTGAGTAATTGCAGTGGTTGACCTAATAAAAGTGTTTTCTTGTTTTGTTGGGAAAAAACAAACAAATGAATAGAAATGAAATTTAATTTAAAATAAATAATGTTGATAATGATCAAAATAAATATAAATTAAAAGGAAATTTTAATTTAAAATGATCTAACTTTTAATTCTTTTTGACATTTCATTTTCTTCATATTTTTTTCCATTCTTTTAGTTAAAAAAAAAATTTATTCAACAACTTTTTTTTTGATTTCAATTGAACTACTTTCAAGGACGAAAAGTAATTATTATTTCATATTTTAATACAATGCGATCCACAAACTTTGATTTAATTTTAAAATAAAAAAAAAACAAAGTTTGATTGTATTTTTAAATAAAAAAAAAAGACAATAAAATATTGCAGATCAAAAAATCAAAGCAAAAAAGAATAAATTTTGGTAATCAAAAAGACAGAAAAAAAAGAAAAGTGCTAAAGAATTGAATGATTAAATTATTTAAACAATTTATTGTTGACTGTTTGATTATAGAAGTTGAAAAATTCTCTTTTTTAATTTTTATATTTAAATAAGTTTAAATAAGTTATCAATTTTTCTTTATTTATCATTAACAAATTTGATTAGTTCTTTTCCTTTCTTTTGACTCCTTTTGTTTTTTTTTTTCTCAAAAAATATTGTTATTTAATAGAAATTTATTGATTTGAAAATGATCAGAAATTATTTGTTTACTTTTGAATATATGTAAACATTAAAATTGAAAAAACGGAAAAACAAATTATTGCATATTTTAATTTTTATTTTCTAAAATTTAATCAGCTTTCTTGCTAAAAATAATAAATTTAACACTTTAAAGTTTTTGCATTTTTAAAATTTAGTAAATAAATGTAATGAATGAATTATAATAAAATGACAGCAAATGACAATACTTAATGCCAAATTTTATAAAATTTTATTAAAAAAAAAAAGAAATGGATTGTAAAATTGAAAAAAATAGGGAATGAATCAATATTTTATCAAAATTTAATCTAATATATCAAAAAAAAAAAAAAAATAAATAAATAAATAAATGAAAAATAAATAGAACTGAAAGGAAAAAATTATTTTCAAACTTCAAATTATTACTTAAATTTGCTTAAATAATTTGAGCACAAAATTACTTAAAATGTTTTATGCCCTCAAAAATATTTATAAAAATTAAATTTCGAAAACTGAATCAAAGTGAAATTAAATCATTTTAATTATTTGTGATATAATTTAAACATTTTTCTACCATTCTATTTGTGTTGTTTTAAAATTAACA